AACTTATAACTGTAATTGTCTAACTATGAGGTGTTAATTATTTTTAAGTTCATCTCTAATATATTATATGAGTATAAATTTGATTATTTTTAACAACAAAATATTTAAGTAGCTTAAATATATATAATATATAAATATTAGATTATATACAGAAAAATCCGTTTATCATAGCCAAATTGCTTAGAAAATAAAAATAATTTCGGAAATGTATTTTTTTACTTTTTTTAGTTACATTAATTTTTTAATTTTTAAATTATTAATAAATAATACATAAAGTGTCAACTTTATTTTTTAAATTACAGCATACGTATTTAAATATTTTATAAAATAGAAAAAAACTGGTCAATAACAACTTATTTTAGTACTTCAAAGTTACTATAATTTTAATATATAGGCTAAAAGTAAAGCGCGGATATAATTATTTTTATTATAAGATGTTACTCAATCGCATTACTCTCGTATAAAAATATGATAAAAGCAAGAAAAAAGTTTCCGAAATTAATTGTGTACTTTGTGATGGTTATGATAAACGGATCACCGAGTACAATGTAGTTTAGAATATTTCAATAACAAATTTTGGAGAAAAATAATTATCACCTCTTCGTTAATATTTTTTGCTTCCGTGAGAGCTGAGTATTTTACTTTTTAGCTTAGCATCGAAACTGAAATTGTATAATGGTAAATTAAAACATTTTAAATATTAAAAAACCCAGCACAGGGGGGTCGCGGCACAGTGGCGACGTGGCATAGTTGGATCAAGTATAATGATATCTAACAGTGATTAAAATCACTATCAAAATAAAACGCTTCGATGCAAATCTTTAGATAATGTTTAATTTTAAAAAATTGGTGTATTATTCCAAAAGCTACATGATCTGCTAGTTCCTTATCAATATCCTGATTAAGATAAAGTATGTCAAATGAAAAATGTATTATTAAAAAATATTATTTCTCATAAAAAAATTGTGTTGATCCATACACTTTTCAATAAGTTATAGCATTATAAAGTTAAAAATATAAAATATAAAATCGAGAATTTTCACACAAAAATAGCATTTGTTAGCCATTTTCACCACAAAGACAAGCCCAGAGGTCAAATTTTTTTTTTCAAATTAAAGTATATTACATTAGCTTTAATTTAAGATATATATAAAATTGTCAGATCTTCCGGAACACTTTCAAAAGTTAAGTTGAAAAAATTAATTTTTTATGAAAAAGTTGTCATTTTAAATCCTCCCCTGTGGGCAGGTAAAGGGTCATATTTATAAAAACAATATACCAAATGAATGGTAATGATATCATACATCTATATAAAAAAAAAATTATATTGATTTGGTTATTTTTAAAAAAGTTATAGCAGTTTTCAGTAAAAAATAGTTAAAAACTTTATGAACCAACAAAGTATGTTTTTTTAGGGAGAACCTTTACACCTCAACATTTTATCACAGAAGTTACATTTGAAACTTGGTGGAATGTTAGAACATGATAATAAATGTCTGTTCAAGTGAGCTTTGTGCTTGAAAGCTTTGAAACACTGATCGCATCGATGTTGTGGAGCTACACCACATTCTTTTTTTAAATGCCTCATTAGGTTATGACGTTCTTTATAACTTCGACCACATGCATTCGGACAAATAAATCTTCCACTAAAAGGACAAACTGAAAATATAGGAAAATATGTAAAATTAGTTTTTTTTAATTAGAAAGAATTCATCTAATATAGAATTGTAAAAATTGATATCAAGCAAAAGCTATTACCAAAGAAGTTTAGTGAATATTATTATAATTATGTAACTATATACATAAATTATATTTATCATCGTGAATCTATTGATAATAATTTAGAGATAATATGGACATTCAATATATTTATTTTTGAGATTAAAGTAAAAAAATCCATTAATACGCCGTTTTATCTAATTTTATCTTATCATACTTATATTCCTGTCAATGTATGTTGTGTATGTATTTGTCATACAAATAAATAAATATGTAATTTTTGTTTATACGTAGTTTTTAATTTTTAGAGGAAATAAGATTCTTTCTCTTATCAATTAATTTATATTATTTTATATTTAGTATAAACTGAAATGACTAATTAAGTACTACAAACATTTAATGAAGCAATTAATTGCAATTCAATTTTTCTTTTGTGATTTTTATCATTTACTTATGTAATAAATTGTTGATATTATCATTTTTAACAAAAAAAACCCAGCACAGGGGGGTCGCGGCACAGTGGTGACGTGGTATAGATGGATCAAGTATAATGATATCTGACAGTGATTAAAATCACTATCAAAAAAAAACGCTTCGATGCAAATCTTTAGATACTGTTTAATTTTAAAAAATTGGTGGACTATTCCAAAAGCTACATTATCTGCTAGTTCATTATTAATATCCTAATTAAGATAAAGTATGTAGAATGAAAAAGGGATTATTAAAAAATATTATTTCTCATAAAAAAATAATGTTGATCCATACACTTTTCAATATGTCATAGCATTATAAAGTTAAAAATGTAAAAAATAAAATCGAGAATTTTCACACAATAATAGCATTTGGTAGCCATTTTCACCGTGAAGATAAAATAAAGTCCGAAATTTTTTTTTCGCATAATAAAGTAAATTACATTAGCTTTAATTTAA